GATTGTCATGCCCCACTTAAGACTAAGACTGTGAAAGTTAGACCTGCAGTGCCTTGATACAACGACGAGATAAAGGCCGCTAAGCGCTTGAGACGTAAGGCTGAGAGAACCTGGAGGAGAACGAGATCTGTGTCTGACTTGAATATTTTCAAGTCTTACAGAAACCGCGTGACGTACCTTATGAACCAGGCCAGGCAGGCATTTTACACTAACTTTATTGATGAGAATAGCACAGACCATAAAAGATTATTCAGAGCTACCAAACAACTCCTTGCTAAGAAAGAGGAGTTTTCGTTTCCTAATTATCAGGACAAATCAAAACTAGCCAATGACATCGGCGGTTTTTTCGTTCGGAAGATAGATACAATTCGTTCTGATATTGATGCCGTAGGTATCGATCCAAGCGCGCGCAATGCGCTACCTCCTGATCAGGAAGTAGATGATGCGCATGCTTTTCATTCCTTTCAACCACTCTCGGAAAACGACGTCTCTGCGCTCATCCGTAAGTCTGCTAAGAAGTCCTGCCCGTTGGACCCGATGCCAACTTCTCTGGTTGTTGGCTGCCTTGACGTGCTGTTGCCTGTTATTTCACGAATTATAAATCTTTCGCTATCATACAGCCATTTCTCTGAGGAATGGAAAGAAGCTCTGGTTACTCCGATCCTTAAGAAACCTGGCTTAGACCCGACGCAGTTGAATAACCTTGGCCCTGTCAGTAACTTGGACTTTATATCAAAATTGACAGAGCGCGCTGTTTTCGACCAAATTCACAGTCGTATGAGTCCATTCGCCCTTTATCTAACCTCGCAATCCGCCTACCGAAAGGGTCACAGCACAGAAACAGCGCTACTGAAGGTACAAAATGACATTCTCATGAATATGAGTTGCAAGCATGTAACTCTTCTAGTTCTCCTAGATTTGAGCGCAGCGTTTGACACTGTTGACCACAATATCCTGCTTGCTCGTCTTAAGTCAAGTATCGGCATTAATGGCACCGCCCTTAATTGGTTTACGTCTTATCTTAACAACAGATCGCAACGAGTCTCGCTAAATGGCTTTACATCTGACAGTTTTAAGCTACCTTATGGCGTTCCACAAGGATCGTGTCTGGGGCCATTATTGTTTACCATTTATTCCAGCAAACTGTTTGAAGTCATCAAATGCCATCTACCTGAAGCACATGCCTATGCTGATGACACTCAGCTTTACCTGTCATTTAGTCCTGACACAGCTACTAATCAGACTGATGCGGTCATTGCCATGGAACGCTGTATATCGGACATTCGTACGTGGATGCTTACGGATAAGCTCAAACTGAATGATGACAAAACTGAGTTCATGTTGATTGGTACAAAACAACAACTTTCCAAAGTAAATATTGATTGCCTTACCGTAGGAAGCATTGACGTTGTTCCTGTCACTGTGGCAAGAAATTTAGGGACATGGTTCGATTCTAACTTGAATCTCCAGGAACAGATCCACAAAACTTGTAAATCTGGGTTTTTCCATTTATACAATATTCGGCGTATCCGACAATATCTGTCCCAGGAGTCAGCACGAACTTTGGTCCATGCTTTTATCATTGGCCGAACAGATTACTGCAACAGCCTTCTATTTGGTTTACCCTCTACTCATCTACTTAAACTGCAACGCTTGCAGAATGCAGCTGTTCGGCTTATATCTAATGTCCCTCGCTACAGTCACATAACACCAGTACTATGTGCGTTACATTGGCTTCCTGTCAAATTTCGTATTGATTTTAAAATACATCTTTGTACTTTTAAAGCTATCTACTGTCATGCACCTGGTTACTTGATCGATTTGATTGCTATTAAAGAACAGCCGCGCTATAATCTCCGTTCAGCTAGCGGTCTTAGCTTAAAGTATCCTAGTTTAAAACTGAAAAAGACTTTAGGGGATGGTGCTTTTTCATCTACTGCCCCTAATTTATGGAACAATCTGCCCCTTCACATCCGTCTTGAGTACAATTTTGAACGTTTTAAATCTTTACTAAAAACACATCTTTTTAGACTATCTTTTGATAAGTAAATTTTTTACCTACTATGTAATATATTTAGTGTTTTTTTTATCTTTATTTAATTTTTAGCGTTGTTTATTCTTGGCCTTAATTATTTTGCTCATTTTAGTTTTTATTTTCTTTTAGCATTTACATGTTGTCACGCGCTTTTGATCATATTTGCATGGAAAAAGTGCGTTATAAATTTTTAATTATTATTATTATTATAACAATTTGACCCTTCCTTTCATTCTGGACAACTTTCACATTACCATGAAATATTTGGAAATTATGTGCACCCGCTGATGGATCCTTTGTTTGCACCTGTAAAAACTACAGCTTTGGAAGACAGTGACGGATAGCTTGACTGATATATTATATAGTCTCTTGCTCGGAAACCGAAGTGTACGGATAAAAACCACTACACAAATCTTTGAAGCGCAACTGGATTGGAGTCGCCAAATTCTGCTGCTTTAAAAAGGGCATCCTCTTCGTCTTCATCGATGGCCTGAGCAGCTTGCGGTTTATTGGAAACTGTTGCTGGCTCGTTTTTTTCTCCGGTTTTCCTGCTTGCATTCCGGAGACCCATGTTATGCGCACAGGATTCTGGGATCGACAGGGGGCAAACATTGCGAGTCGCTACAAAGAAATGTGTGGCGTAATGTAGTTTTTCCGACAAAAGCAGTGTCTTTGGACGTACAATAACGCATTTTCGTCGTGATTTTGTGAGAAGCGGAGGTGACTAATGTTGATGTGTTGAAATTTCAAGTTTTTGTGTGATTAATGCGATAAATTCTACCGACAAACACTCCTTGCGTGAGGTTGAGTGTGAAATTTGTCAGTGAATTTATGTTTACAGAATTTACACAGTGATCTATACAGGAAGAAAAGGTCTCGAAATATATAGTGCAAATTTAGCTATCAAGGTAGGGGGATTAGCTCATTTAAGCTTTTTAGTTTTAAATACGTGTCGTGATGTTTCCAACGAGTGTAACTACGCTCGGCCGCGATCAGCGCCGTACGGGTTGTGTCAAGACAAGACAACAATCGAAGGTATGTACGTGGCCGTAAGAATGAAAAATCCTCCTTTTCTAGGGTATAAACCAAGTAATATCTACGAAATATTCCATGGAAAGTACATGGTATTTATACATGAGTAGATGAGGTCGAAATCGTACGAAAGATTGCCGTAAAACGAGTAAGATCTCCGATACAAAAGCAGTGAATGGGTAAATAAATTGATGTGCGAAATTCAGAGATTCTATATCCTCCCACAAAGTGGTTGGAAAAGGCATTAGAACTTATTGGTACTCTGGATCATGAAAAAACATTTTGCTCGCGTATTTTTGGCGAGAAGAAATCAACATACCAAGATGGGGAAGATGCTTTTGTTTTTAAAGTTACACATCAATACTTACCTTCCATCGCTGTCACAAACCGGCACAACATTGTGATCGCCGCCGAGCCCAGAGTAGTTACACTCGTCGTAAATATCAGCACATGTAGCTACAACTGGAAAGACTTAAGTGAGTCATTCCCCGCTCATTTACACCAAGTAAGTTAGTACTATATATTTCGAGACCTTTCGAATTCAGTAAATCGATCTCACAGTCGACCTTCGCAAGAAGGAGTGTTTATCGATAGAATTCATCGCATTGATCCCACGAAAACTTACAAATTCAACGCACCAATATGTGGCATTCTATGTCCAAAGACGCTACTTTAACGGAGAAACAACTCCACTCCTTACATTTCTTTGTAGCGACTTGCAATGTTTGCCCCCTGGCGATCCCATAATCCTGTGCGCATAACTAAGTGTCCGATTATTTGAAAATCATTCATTCGAGAATAGGTGGTCAAGCTCGGACGCAGGTAAGCTTTCAATTTTCTCATTTTTCGTACAATTAGCTTCCATGTAGCGGAGAAGAGTGTTCATATCAGTAGCCGTCTTCTTTTTTGAGTTTGCACTTTTCTGTAGGTTGATAAAATCGTCTATGGCCTTCTGGCTTTCTGTGATGTCTGTTTCAGTTTCTGCATCAAAAGTTTCCAGATCTTGAGGATAATAAGACTAGCTCTGAGAATGTTCGTCTTCTTCATCAATGCATCTTTGAAATGTAGCTAAAATTTCCTTCTTTTTAGCTTTTTCTGGTAGTTTCGCTGTGAAGAATGGCAATATTCACGTTTTTTTCGCTGTTTTGGTTGCAAATTTTCATCAATTTTGAATTTGCCGGCTTTTCTCCAAAACAAAAATACATGCCTTCGACCGTACTGCAAAATCCCGATCGAGAAAGAACCAATCAGAGAGCACAGATTTGCCTAAGACTAGCTTTGCCATATAATGGGAAGTGTTATGTGCCTGAGGATAGTTTACATTTCGGCCCAATATTGCTTACCTCTTCCCCGTTCCATTGTACATGTCAGCTTCAATTCCTCACGGCCATGTACAAATGTGCCACCTTCTTTGCACTCCATCCCACTTGCATACTGCTTGCATATTTGAACAGGAAATTTGGATTTTAGGTCAGCTGGGTAGATCCGTTGTGTTGATTTAGATCGATCGTAACCTTTGGTTGAACCTGTTAAGTCCAAAGTTTTATGAATCTGAAGCAAAGAAATATTCTCTAGAGTCTTCCACTGAGATACAGCCTTATTCTCATCATCGACTCCCCCACTGGTTGAGGCAACTTCAGTATAATCTTGGAAGGATTTTGATGCTGCATAATCTTCGAGAAAGCATACATTTCTATCATTTAAATGCTTAGAGCTATCCTTAACGGATGGGCCTTCGCCATAACATGGAGCAGAAGAACAGGTCGACTTGTCCATATTCATAAATAATATACCTGATTCTTTCTTGCTTGTCGTGTTAGAGCTCTTCTTATGGATGGCGCCCTTGTGTTCTGAATAATGATGATTATAATGATAATTATAATTATCAACACCTTTATTTACGTTCCAGATTATGAAGATAGTCGAAGGAAAACCCTGTATTTATCCCTTACATCTATAATCATCTGTACAAAAATGAAGTTTTAGATACAATAGCATACAGGGTGGAAGGTCAAAATACATTTATTCCAAAATGCTGAGCGGAATTTATAAAAAATGGATAAGATGCGTAGCCATTAGAGAAGTAACAGGTATAACTTGGAATCGGCCTAGCCCTTATCACCACCATCTTTTCCTTTTCTTTTTCCTTCTTTCTTCTTTTGACAAATTTTGAAATGAAATGAGAATATTTTCCTCAGTTCACAACACCTTTGTATTATGTATTTGTGAGGAGAACGGGATGTCTCCATCTAGACTGTTCACAGTCTCCTATTCTTCCATAAGATCGTCGATATTCAAGACTTTGCGTTACGGGAGTCCATCTTGGGTGAGTGTCAATTCTACTGGATAAGGTTTGGGGGTAAGCGACCGACCACTATAAATCCCGACGCCCGACATGTCCCCTCGGTACGTGTGAAACCAATGAAACCAAGATGGCACCTCGAACCGGTAAGCGCTCGATCCTGACGATCAAACGAAAAAATAGCGGTCTGTGAACAGTCTAGTATCCATCATACAATTGGGAGCTCTTTGATTGGCTAAGTTTGTTAGAATGTTGTCGTCAACACAAAGTAAGATGCTTCGCAACGAAATGGATACCGAAATTAGCTGACCATGTAGGCAACATCAATTTTAAGAGCAGGCTCATTAAAGAGAATATTTTAAAATAGCATTCCATTGCACTTTTATCCAGCCATAAAACGGAATCTTGTTAATTGCAAGGTGTCATTTTCACTTTTCGACTTACTGGTCGTTATCCTAAAAATCTAATTTCTCCCTTGGGCATCCTGTAGAAAATCTATGGTTGAAAACATTCTAATCCATTTTTTATCTTACGTTTTTTGGTGTCTTGTCTGTCTATTATTGTCTTTGCTTCGCTGTTCGTCTTTCCTTGCTTAGGTCTTGCACCACCAAACGCTGAAAATAATCGCAGTGTCATGGTGGTGTCGGAACTGATTGCGAGGCTACCACTCATGATGGTTTAGCAAGGGGAACTAATCTCTGAATATCTATATTTATCACTGCATGTACATAATTCACAATTATCAAATGAGACTGAGTATGATGTGAAGAATTATGCAGATAAAGGGGCTTGTTACCCATCGAGGCTGTGGAACAGCCTCCGAGATCGATCCGCAAAATTCTTCAGATCACACGAACGCTGAATTAAATAATTATATTATTCATCATTATTATTCATTCAAAATATTTCTAAGTTTTAAACAGCCTTTCCTCCTAAATTTTCTTCAAAACAATTGCCTGTACTGTTTCTCAGCACAGTTTCATAATATGAACAGATGTTTGTTTCCTTCGCAGATACTCCTAAAAAAGTAGATGACAGCCATCGGGTGATATTGTTCCAATTTTTTTCTTGCATTCTCCCCTTTCAGTTTGAGTCAGTGTTTCGGCTATTTCGGATAGCCGTGATTTCTTTTGCTCACACATGCTAAAACAGCAAGACTACTGCGCTGCTGCCTGGAAACGAGGCTGTGATTTTATAATGGAGCAATATACCATCGAATCAAGAGAGGATGAAGGGGACAGAGAAGGCATCCCCCATACACACCCTATTCCATAGGTAATTCGTTTCGAGTTACTTTTAACACCACAAATCTCAAGGGGGATTAGACAACAGCCAATCACATAGCACGAATGTGTTGCCCGTGGATGACCCACGCTCAGAGCCACGCGCCCTTCAAGAATTGACGCAGAACAAAATGGCGGAAGACGCGGAGAGCGATATTGCTATTCGTCTTGTTGACGAAAACGATCACAGAGAGATTTCTGCTAAAGCTGTGTTAGCGAAACGGAAATTAAAAAAGAATGGCCCTTCCTCTCTTAGAGAGCTAGCAGCACAGCAGGGAAATCCTTAACACACTGAATTTTCTCTCAGGATCATTTATAATTTACAGTTTGAAGAGAGTAATTTCTGGTTTGATATTTATTCTTTTATTAGTCTTTCATTATTCAACAAAAATAACACTTGGCGTCCTTCTTGCTTTATTGTACAAACGACCGCTTTCAATAGACAGGCGAGATTTCTCATTTTATTAAAGCACTGAGGATACGACAACTTCGAGTTAAACTGACTTCGGGGGTTGTCAAAGAACCCAGCGATTCCCTTTTTCCAGGTGAGCGCCGACACATTTCGCTTCAATATTCAGGAATGCTCTCGATCTCTTTACGCTTTCATTGCCTTTCGCCCGACATGTTTTGCGCGGCGTTTAGTCATGCGAAACCTCCACGAAACATCCACGCAGCGCGCGAGGTAACTTTATCCAGATTCTAAAAATAACTCGAGACGAATTACCTATGGAATAGGGTGTGTATGGGGGATGCCTTCTCTGTCCCCTTTATCCTCTCTTGCATCGAATTGATGGTATATCGCTCGCATCTTCCTAATTTGGGTCATTGCCAGCTGGTTTTGAAGAATTAGCCAGGTATTAAAGCCAATCAAAAACGGCGAGATATTTTGAATGAATAATAGTTAAAAAAGTAATGTATGGTTATACACAATTATTGGATAACATATACAGCGCCTTATGATTCGCTAGCCTGATACATATCGCTTGCCTCTCCCCTCCCTCCCCCCCCGCCCCCACCAAACTAAATCTGGATATGCACTTGCCCCTACTTTTTGTATCGTTCAGGGTGAAATGAGTCATCCCAGTCTCAATTTGATAACCAAAGAGATACATATTTTCTCTCAACAAGGATCCACAGAGAAGATAATGAAAAAAAAGCTTCATTTTATTTGCAGGACTGATTGCAAATTACTTTGCATAATTGTTTTCTAGTGCGTGAAGGAACATAGCACGTAATTCTCGGAAAATTAAGAGACAATAAATGGGTCGCTGGCCATTCTTTTGAGTCAGTGACCTACACTAGAAAGAAAGAGAAGACAAAGACACAAATACCTTTATTCGTTGTCGTCTGTTTATCGGAAGGTTTTCGTCCCGAGCCTGAGGCATCCAAAGCTTCAAAATACCATACGTTGTGTAAAAATTAAAGTTTTATTGTAATATTTGATAAAGATTAGACTCACTTGTGCTTAGTATTATTAATAATAACTATAAGCAGAAACTTTTGGTTGAAACTTTTTCATTTGGTTCATACAGTTAGTCGACAGTGAAACCTGTTCGTTGCACGTTGCCAAACCGATTTTTTTACATTGTTTTTCACAGTCCAGAATCTGGGAAATGAAAGGAGGTAACTATATAAAGATCCCCATTAGGATTCAGGTCAGTTTAGCTTTTAATAGGCGAGATATTCAGAGAAATGTTTTACCCAAATTTTTAAGAGCTTTGTATGGAGACGCAAATTGTTGGTGTCCATCCGGATGGGCACCAACATGGCAACCGGAAACCAACAGAAACATTTGTCACTGAGTTTTGCTACGAAAGCGTGAAATCATCTCTCGAGCAACTCACAAACTAACTATACAATAACTGTTCAGATAGAAAAATATAATTCCCTAAAATAAGTCACTTCTTAACCTACACGACAGCGCTCTCGCCCCTCCCCTCCCCCATGTAAATGCCGTGTCATGCAAAAGCTTAGAAATTCAAGCGTACACTTTCCGAAAGCGAAGAACCCTTTTAAAGTGAAAATTTGTTTATGTATTGTTTTTTCAGCTGCTCTTTACTCCATGCAAGTAAAGACTCATGAGGATCAATAATAGGCCATTTGCACTAAGAGGTCATGTGACATTGTTTTTATGAAAGTGAAAGTTATATGATTTTTTTTCTTCAAAAAACGATTAGTGGGTCATGTCTTGAACAAAATAATAGTGATTTTGTTTTTCAAACCTGCACCATTTTCTTAAAATGAGTAAGTTCGTAGTTGGTCACGTGACCAAAATGTGATTTTTGAAATTGTGAATTAACTCTTTCTGAACACAAATTTTGCTCTTAAACTTCAAGGAGAATGTTGAAAAGTTGATGTGGGAACGTTTACAGCACATCTGAGCGTAACTATCAAACGTTTAACAAGATCTAAGCAAAAAGAAGTTTTGGCCGCCATATTGGAGGGCAAGAGTATGCCCTCCATCATGGCGGCCAATACAAATGATACTACTTTGTTGAAAAATCAAAGTGCCATAAAATATCTCCCTTAAATGCGTTTCCCCTCAAATTTCGGGTGTAAGATAATTTTTATGTGCTCTGTCAATTTTTGGCATCAGCACTCTATTGTCTTTTGATTACATTTCTTGACAAACTCTGCCTACCAGTCTGACGTCACAAAGCAACTGTTAAGATTTTCGCGTGCCTTGCGAGCAAAGAGAACGCATCACAGAGGAAGGAGAAAAACACGAAGCTAAGGCTAATATCGCTATTGATCGCTAATCTGATAGAGGAAGAGTGAGTTTTGTGATCTTATTCTTCTGTCTGCATAAGCGTTTAGAGGTTATCTAACGCTTAGATATTACGTAAATTCTTGGTGGATTTGTGTTTAGGCGACTTATGGCCAGCTAGAAGATTTTGACTCGTTAATAAAGTTGTTCATTCATTCATTCATTCATTCATTCATTCATTCACTCACTCACTCACTCACTCACTCACTCACTCACTCATTCACTCACTCACTCACTCACTCACTCACTCACTCACTCACTCATTCATTCATTCATTCATTCATTCATTGGTTCATTCGTTCATTCAAGAGTATGTTGCATCAAGTCTAAAAACACTTGACAGGTCCTCGATCCTCCTCATGTTTTAGCTAGACTTGCTTTAACACTCTTCTTGGTTACTGAACTTGTCTTCCGTTAATAGGACTTGCTTAAATGCCTAGCGATGATCAAAATAATCTCTAGTGCAGAGTCAACTGTCATGTTTTTATTTCCATTATTATGATAACACGTATCTTATGAAAAGTGTCTTAATAAACTTAAGTACAAATCAGACTAGGGTTAGGATCCATTCGTTTCCAGTTTACTTAGTTTTCAGTGCACGCCAATAACAATACTTTCTCTGGCCCATTTTTTTTCCCATTATGGAATTAGCCCTGACAAAAGATTACTGATTAACTCTAATTTTTACTTAACAACCGATTTATGTTAATTTATAACACATTAACAGTGATTGTCATAGGGATGGACATTCAGCTGGAGGTATGTATTAATTCCTTAGTTTTAGGGATTTGAAAATAGTGACCCAAAACAAAGTTAATAGAGTGGACAGGTTCCAAAGCCCGTCAGACTCCTTTATTAAATGTTTTTGTTAGCTTTTTGGATCTGACGGTGCACAACGTTCGATAGCATTCCTTTTGTTTTCATCTTATTGTCCAATAAAATTGTCAGTCATAATTTGGAACAGAAAACAAAGGACTGTGCACCAGCCGTCAGTGAGCTTCCATGAACATAAACTGAAGCACCGTTGTTCTTATCTTTCGTGTTTTCCACCCTTCATAGCCATTCTCCTCCCCTAACTATGCCCAAAATAACAAATCTGGTGAAGGTATTAAATTTGATAGTCTTCATGGGAGGAATAAAACAAAATCTACCACCCATGACCCGGTGATTTAGGAACATGTTAGATCTTTAATTAAGGTGTATGATACTAATAAAACACTATTGTAAAAGCCTGCAAAGTATAAAATCAATCAAAAATCCTAAATAGCAATATTTTTACAGTATGGAGACAGAAATGATGTGACTTTCTGGTGAAATTCCCTGCGAAAGGAAATACAAAGACAAAAAGCTTTTTATCTTAAAATATAGTTTGCTAGAGATGTTCATGAAGAAGGGAAAATAAAACTGATTTTTCACAATTAAATTTATGAGGGTGGACTTGTTCAGTGAATGTAACATGCTGCATGTATATATTATGCAAGGCTTCGTTTTTTAAGAAAACGTTTGTGAAAATGGAAGATGAGTTCACACTAGAAAGCTCAGACTATACCTTAGATTGTTACACTTACCACAGACTTGTCAGTCGCACAACGAAAACCATTAATTAACCATACACAGGAAGTATCAATTCCATCCAAAAATTGTTGAGACTTACGAGAAATAATGTATAGATTTAGACAGGGCTAAAAGCGAAGTGCTCGTTAATAACTATAGTTTACTCACACATTAAATATAAAATCGTGTAATGTTAAGCGGCGGCGACAACGAAAACAGCCAGAAACATTAGTAGGTCTAATTTATTTAGCAAATAAAACTTTGCACGTGCAGCACACTTTTTTTGTACATTTCTTTGCCGTTGTTTTGCACGACTACAACGTGAATCTTTCAGACACTTCCTAGTTAAATGTTGCATATGTTTTCCTTTTCACTTTTTTTTGCTACCACTCATTTTCACCTTGGTGGCTGCTAGCATTTCTCGTCTTCTCACCGCTGTTATAAAATTTTCATGTTATTCTTCCAACGAAATTGGTCCCCCTTGTTTTTTGTCTCTCGCTCTAGCTCTTTCCCTCTTATCCACGTCAAAAAATCGGCTCTTGATCTGTTGTTATTATTTTTGTCTTGAAATGCAAAATTTCACTCAGGCTTACATGAAGTGGTGGACACACGTACGGACGTACGGACGATTTTTTCAGAACTAAAATTTCTTGGATGCACAGATAACCAAATTTTCTTACCCTTTGGTGCTCCGCTGCGCGCGCTTCTCGCCCGCGAGAGCTCCGCTAAAAATTGTCAGTAACAAAAATTACAGGAATGTTCACAGCTGGCTGCTACCTAGAGGACGAAAAAATATATTGAAGTAGATTTTTGGAAGATAAGCACACACTGGAAAGCTTAAATATTGAATTTGCATTTTTTGGTGTGCCAGGCTTCGCATAGGACACTGCAATGAATTTTACATCGACCCAAACAAGGCAATAGTCAGTTTCCACAAGATTGTTTGCAATTTTGTACAGCAGCTTCCAGGGCAGGACTAGCATTAGCAAGAAAATAGCCTTGCTTCATGCAACAATGGCTTCCGTAAAGAATAGTTAGGACCTTACGGTAACTTTTCTGGACTGTACAATGCTGGAAAAGAATGAATACGTATCATTAACACCTACCAGCAAGAGTGGCAATCCAAAGCATGACGTTCAGACTCAACTACGTACACTCTCTGCACACCAACTATCACTAAACTTTGAGGGGATAGATATGAAGGACCAAACATGGCGAAGCTGAATCTCCTATTGCTGTGCGTAAAAATCAATACTTCACCGTGCACTGGCCTCGAAAGTTGCACCAGTTGATGCTTTGGCATGACCGAAACTTTCGTTAAAGTTGGCCACTCCTTTGAAAGGTTTGTTTGACAAAGGACTAAAAACTAAGTGTTCATAACAATCAAAATATAAAACTCACAAATCTACGCAATCCGATAAGAATATTCTTTAAAAATTCTACATTTTTAGCAATCCCTTTCGTTTACATCATCAGGCGCCGTTTTGAAAGTGTGAAGCAAGACATGACGTCATACTGGCACGAAGACTTAACCAACCATTTCCATGGAAACGCGCCTTCCCTCCCAGGATCGATAAATGAAGTCAATGAATAAATAGATTTTTAGATCACTCTGAGCAGTAATTTAAGGTGACTCGACCCAGTTTTTTTTGGGGGGTACCATCCTAGTTTGAAGCTCTCTGGTATCCCCACCTTTAGTTTTATCGTGAGTCTGTCATTATACAGCATTCTTGTTCAGCACGCGTGCAATGACCACGCTTGGCTGACTTCCGAATGCTCACCGAGATATTCCCGTCACGAGTTGGTTTAATTATTGGCTTGCATTAAACCTATGAAAAAATGATATTTTTTTAATAGTAAGTAGATTTAGTGTGTAGCACTTCTTGATTTTTTTGCAAAGGCACAAGAAGCACGAGAATTGATTAAAAATTGTGAATTAAACCTCTATGTATCACGCGATGGCCTGTCTCACTGTACCAAAATTATCATATCTCGGTGAGCATTCGGAAGTCAGCCAAGCGCGGTCATTGCACGCGTGCTGAACAAGAATGCTGTATAATGACAGACTAGAAACAATAGACAACTCCCAAAGCACAAACTCAGCCAAAACGCTAAAAATCTTCAATGTTTACTCAAGTTTGGGCTTATAGAAGATAATGTCACAGTTTTTCAATGACCATGAAATTCAGAGTCCGGGTAGTTAGTTAATCAATTGTGGCCCTGAAAAAAATTGAAGGAAAAAAAACTACGAATTTTTAAGAAAATGCTTTTTTCGTGAGAAGGACTCTTAAACGCTGACAAACGTCAACAAATAGCGAAAACTATAATTTCTATATGTTTGCTTTGCTCGAAATCGCGCGCATTTACAAGGCCCTAAAGCGTTTTGCTGACTTGCAAGGACCCATCTGTTATAACGATGTCCAAAATAAAGAGATGAATCTCATAGTTTATTAGATATAATCCGTGTAAAGTTTGCTTATCGTTTTCGCATAAATTATGACCTAAATTTGGAAACCTCTGAATTTCTCGAATTGAGTCTTTGCGATTTTAGTGAAACTCTGTTCAGCGCAAGGCACTAATGCGCACTATGTGTAGCCGAGAGATTTTCACGAAAAAATGCCGGCAACAGCAGATTTTCGACTCAGACCTCAAAGGGGCGCGGCATTATAACCACGTGACATTTACTCCGATCGCCAAAACTTTATGTTATATTGTAGATTGATCTATATGTTATCCATTCTATGTTAGACTTACGATAAAAGTAAAGGTGGGGATACCAGAGAGCTTCAAAGTAGGATGGTACCCCTCGAAAAAAACTGGGCCGAGTCACCTTAATGTAACGTTTTAAATGAAATATATTCATTAACTGCACTGGCCTCGTTGTACATTTAGAGTTCTTAGCAGTCTTTTATAGCACTTTTCAGATTATCGTTTTATTTACATAAGTGATTCTTCGCCCTTATACCACGCATCGAATTCATCTTAGCATTCAACGTTTACTGCGCAACAAACGCCTATTAGAGCCATCTCTATAAATTGGAGAATTGATTAGAAATTCCATTTTCAATGATAAAGTAAAATATAAAAATAATTATATTTTTCAGATAACACTGCATTCATTATCCAACACTCATCTGTCTCAACTTTCAACAACCAGTATTAAGGTTAAGTGGCTTTGGTAACAGGCAAACAACACTTTACCGTTAAACGTTCACTTTTTTTCATATTAAATAAATTTAACATAACAATATATATATACCTGCTTTCACGTCATAAGTTGGGAGATCCTTTACTTGTTCCATCATGGCATTAGTCTATAAATGAGTCAAAAATGTACCATAAGGCTGTAGTTTCATCTTCATACAGTCTTTTTTACCTTTTTTGTTTTTTCACAAATATATTGTATGTGAAGACAGGAAAATTGTCTTGGAAAATTAACAGTATTAATTAGAAAAAATAACGGTAATATGTTGGAAGCTTTTTTGAGTCCCCTTTTATTATATTAAAAACCTCATCTTTTTAATTTAAACTTTGTCAAGAGGCGTTTTTGACATAAGAAAGAACGCTCTTAGCACCATTGAGTCTCGCCTGCTTGGAGATAAGATAAGAAATGAAGATGCGATAAGACCGAGAGCGGTCGTCCTTCTTTCCTCTTAGCCACGCTCGGCCAGCGAAAAAGTAAAATCTGATTATACTCCCTCGACTCCAACTGTGACTCAGTTACAAAAGAAAAAAATACTGCTCGCGATCTAGGAGGCAATTAATTCTACACGAAACAGGATTTCCTCTCGCTAAAGGTTTTTCAATTCCGGCCTACTTTATTGACGGTCGAGTATTCTTCGGGATATTTTCTTATTATATCGTTTCTGAATTGATAAATAAACGAAATTATATATAATTTATAAGAAAGAACGGCTGAACTAAAACCCGCTGGAATTGCCCTGGAACGAGCACATATTCTAAGAAAACACCATACATCTAGACAAGGAGACAAGGAAAGAAATTCTGGCGTATTTTTATTACTATATATAATAACGAGCGCCTTAATTCTCATACAGACTGTACAAACCATTGTAATATTTTTGTTACGCAACAATGATTCTCACTCGTACGCTTGGGGTACCTGTGATTAAAGTTTACAACATTCGACCAGTTAGCCTCACCTTCGAAGTTTTGCTCATTAAGATTGTTCGTTTTTTTCGACCACCGAAATAATAGTCTGTTCTAAACGGTAACGAACCCTTTCAAGCGACATTGAGAATTCGTAGACCGACCCGTTCCGGAAAAGCTCGACATGGGATTTCTATATTCAATGCACATGAAGTGCTGCAAGTAGAGTGCGTGAATGTCAAGAACAAAGGTACCCGTATAAACACATCCATGACACATACGCAACGTCAGAGGGGTAGTTGAAGTTGCTTTTTTGTAGTAGTTGAGGGTTAAATCATTGATATCTCAACTATTTTTAGAGTGCAACGCGACTAAACATCTTATCAACTGCGAAAATCGATCAATTAAATACATACAACAAATACACCACAAAACAGGATTTCCGCTAATATATTTTCTTATCTTACTATCTTGTCCGTCGAATATTCTTCTACTTTTTAATAGGCATGCATAATTACACGAAACTCAAGGGCTTCGATTCAGGAAAAATTACATCATTCAGCCAAACAGGCAAAACGTGATCAACTTAATGAATGCGTCATTTCAGTCATCGCTGAAAGTAAACCGCATACTCCTCACGAAGACTCATTTGCATACAATGAAGGTTGTCACGACTCGTATTCGCAGTTTCCACGGTCTCCGCTAGGAACTATTGGGAGCATGGCCTACTATTGTGCCCACACAAAAAAAAACAAAAGCCTACATTTTTAGTCTCGCTCTCCTTAAGCCAGCTCGACTAAATATAACTGAATCTTGCCGGACTCGTTGTTGAACTACACTTCCTTTAAAGCAATAATGTGATTGCTTCCGAGCAAACGCAGAATGCTTTAAGGGACCAGTCATAATTTAAGTTGGAGGGGGGGGGGGAGAAATTGGGGGGCCTTCAATTTTTTTGGGATGGAATATAGGGGGCCTTGAAATGCCAAAAGATGACCTTGGGGGGTCTTCAAGTTTCTTTTAAGTAGCATCCCTACTGAGCAGCATGATGTTTGAGTATTAAAGGACCTGATTTTGATTCAGTTTTACACAAAGCCCTATATTGTGTAATACTAAAACAATTTAATCAGCATTTTTACAAAAAGATTTAATGCTCAAATAGTAGGTGCATCAACACTTTGACTCTGAAGATGACTACCGCACAGGTTGTCGAAACGTCAGTCACTGTCAACAACAACAGTCCTATTCAGGACTACGTTCATCCGGACGATCAAACTCAACCTTTTGACAACATCCATTATTGTGTAACACTGAAACAATTTCATCGGCATTTTAACAAATGATTACATGCATAAAGTCATGTTATGCAATCTCACTATCCGAATCATTATTTGTAGATGAGGTTGATGCGGACTCACTGTCTGTGTCACCGTCAAGTTTTTCGCTATTAGAGCATGTACTGCTCATATAAAAAGCAGTAAGCTTTGGCTGATTGTCTTCTTTCTTCCTTGAAGCGGTCCTTTCGGCCTCTCACCTTTCGATGGCTTGTCTTATCTCAATTATAACACAATCACTGATATATCCTTGCTCTAAAAGCTGTTTGAGAGGCTCTAGGTGAAATCTCTTTCTCAGTTTAGTGTGAAGTGCTTCTCTGTTGTTAGTTGGCACATTCGGAAGTGGCAGTGAGTAAGAACGGTAAAGTAAAGAAAATGTTATTCGTTATTACCATTTGGGTATTATGTATAAGAAAGGGGGGCCCTTAAATCTTTTAACATGATTGAAGGGGGGTACCTAAAAAACATGGGTGCTATTAGTGGGGGTCTGGAAAAAATTTGGAATAAAAAATAATTTCTCCTCCACTCCCCCCTCCAACTTAAATTATGACTGGTCCCTAATGAGGCAAGAAATAGGGAGGTGTAGGCTCTTTGATTCACCATAAGCTTAGCGGTAGCGTTGAATTCCGACCACCTCTGATCGTCTCGCCTCAGTCTCCATCCTCATTTCGAGGCACTTTCGATACAAGCTCATCCAGGTCTGCGCTCCCACGTCCTTTCTCCAGTCAAGAAGAACTGGACAATTTCTATGACGACCTTTATAAAGCCATGCAAAGCAACAAAGCCCACTTCAACATCATCATGGGTGACTTTAAAGATGAAGAAAAATGTCTAATAAGCGTCTTCGATTGTGGTGACAGAAATAACCGAGTCGAGGATCTTGTCAACTTCGCCACTGCGAAAGGGAGTCTTTCAAAAGTTTTGTTGGTAACCTTTACCATGCGAAAGGGAAACGACTAAATCATTTTCTAAGTAATTTTTTATACACTCATTAAGACATTAAATGGAAGAGTGGTGAGATTACGATTCATCAAAAAAAGTCCTGATTAAAAACGAAAACCTTTAATTGTGACACCAGTCCGTGAGACGTCTCAAAAACTGGAATGTAAGAGCTGATTTTTGTTTTTTGGTCAAGAAAAAATATAACTGCATGCATATTAGGCAGTCTCCGATACGTTGAAGGAAACACTGCTGCATTCGTTATTGTACATTATGTTATTACCTCGATTTGGAGTTGCCTTTCTTGTTTTTCTCGTTCTTTGGCATTTTGTTTTTCCTCATGTTCCAACCTGATTTGTTCCATCTCCTGAAAAAGTTCAACAGATGTACACCTGCATTTCAGTAAGTCAAAAAAATCTTGTCTTTTTATCGTTACTTTCTAGAAAAGTTGTAAGACAGTGTTAATTCAGGTTGTAGTGTAGAAACGTTTTTGGTGGCTTCTGATTTTTTTACATGATTTTTTTTTCTTTTTCTGTACCTCTCAGAAAATTAGCCCAGCGAGAGAGTCTCATATTTAAAACAATATACTATTGTTAAAGCATAGCCTATAGATAAAAAATTGAAAGAAACAACATAAATAGAAGCTGATGTTTTGTATATGTGTACAAAAAAAATTAAAACAAGCGCAACTTTTTACAGTGAAAATGTATGACTATAAACCTTTTTCCGCCGCAGCTCTTCATTTTTCCTCTGCTTCTTATTCATTGCCTGTGCGAAAAAATCGGCAATTTCATTTTAATGATAATATTTCTATATTTATGTTTTCATGAAAGGATTTCCTATTGAAACCTCTATCTAGAATGGAAACATCAACAGCTGTAAGTGGCTTATCGGGCCTGTTAATTATCGGGACTTAAACGACCTAAAATATATCCTCAATGTGCCAATGATTTTGTGGAAAAAAGTAGGTTAACCTAGAACCAATTTAAACGGACGATGTTGCAACTATTTTAGACTCAGAAAACTATACTTATTAACATATCGGAATTCTTAAAAAGTCCCAGCAGGGATTATAATTGGGAGGATCAGGGACCATCCGAAGACCTTTGTTTAGGATGCAGTGTGGAAACGATGCCTGTCAAAAGCCGTCTTACATAATTTAACGCTTTTGCTATTGACATTATTTGTAATATAATCACTTAAAACGATAAACGTAAAGAATATATGGAAGTTAATGTTTTTATGTTTTAATGGGTTATCTACTGGAGAAAAAATTAACATAATTGGTCCCATTGAACGGTCATCGTCGCATGTGGATTCAGCATATAAGGGCCCTTTTGAATACAAAATATATGTTGCTAAAATTGTGCAGGAGCATCTAAAACTAAAATAATGCCAGTACAGTAATGAGGACGCCCACTTGTTAACACAAAACATGAGGGAACAATTTGTGACATTGGAAACCCAATTTCACTGCCTTCCTTGTTTTCAATGTCTTCCAAACTTGGAGGCAATATAAACTAGTGATTAGGAGCGCTCCTTCGAGCTGCCTTAGTAGCCAATCTCTCTATTGTCAATTTTTTAAAACAAAATATATCAAGCGGTTTCTTAACTACCATAAAATTGAAAGGCGTGGACCAAATTGCATACAAAAATGATAACAAAAGCAACTGAAGGTAGGCTAATCAACTTCTTCTTTCTAAAAATCAGCCAAAGCAATCCCCCTCTTTTTCCTTACTCATGCAGTTTCAAATGGAATCAAACCACTATAAGATAAAACTGCTTTTCCAGACCTCATCATATTCTTTAGATATTAGCCAGTTATTCTGATTGCATGGTTATTGACTGTCTTTTTGTCCCTAAAACTTCGTTCCAAAATATTTCTAAAATGCTCGCACAGAAATTGTTCAAACTTTGTCATAATCGAGGAAGTGAAGGGAGGTACAAGCCACCTTGAGAGATTTTTGACAAGAGAAATACAAAGGCAAGTAAAAAACGTGATGGCGTCATTACGTTGCCATGGTAACTCCAATGTCAATGAAACATGTATCACAACAAATGTTCGTCTTTATCAGGAGCCATAATTGGGGTAGGAGACCGCAAGCGAGGGGACCACGCGGTTCCATCGAAAAGCAAAGTGTGCTATTTCTAGAACAAACTGCGGCGCCACCTTCAACGTCACAAAGTCGCTCAGGAACTCGAAAATTTGCACGGCTCTCGTGTGGAATTTCATGAGATGGGTGATCGTCCTGCGACTTCATTTAAGTACTCTCTTAATTTTCCCCAAGTACTTATATATCTTGAAATACAATGCATGCACGGTGGAAGGATACACCGATGTTTTATAAACACTAATAGGGATACACCTGGACTAGCAAAAAAATTTACTAATTCTACAACAGTGAAACGTCTACTAAGCGGGCACCTTCGGGACCTTCCCAAGTGTCCGCTTAATAGAGGGTGTCCGCTTAATAGAGGTTTTAAAAATTACGCAATGTTAACGATTAACATTCAACGGTTACTCTGTACTGTGATAAAGTTCCATATGCACTTTGTTAAGGAAGCTAATGAAGCTGTGCTGTACTTTTAGTAAGACTTTAAGGTGATTTTTGATCTCGGATGACAATCATACGGCCGGATGTCGGTCTAATTTACAGTTTTTTGACAGCTAAATGTATTTGATTTCCTTTTATAAAGGGAAAAGGAAATCACAGACCAGGTTACAGGGGACCAGAAATGTCCATAATAAATGAGGTCTGTCGAATTTTTGCAATCTTACCATGCTCTATATTCATCTATAGTCTAATCCTAAATGATAGGCGAAGAGAAAGCGCCGAGTCCAACCACAAAATGACTGGACTATAAGTAGCGTTTTCAAGCAAAAGGGCCAAAAGCAATGTTTAGTTATGAGGTTTATTTTTTAATCCAGGTGATCATTTTAAGAAGGATAAATCGCATACCGGCTTCTTTTCAGGGATGCTGGGTTGAACAGGGACTGTGGTGCTAGATTTCTGAAATGGTAATGAATCTGTTACAATAAGATAAGCGTTACTGTAATAACCATTCAGCTAGATCTATATACTGATTTCATATTTTACCATCTGCCAATCAGACAAACTGTCAATCAAATATTGCATCAGTCAGTCAATAAAAATAAAAAAAAATATATAGATTTACTGTCCATGTCATTACGTCTGGTTTTGGTGACTCAGATCCGGTTCAAACGTCGCATTTCATAGGTACCGAATTTAATTGTTCTCGTTATTTGCATTCGGCACATGTGAAATGATACGTATGAACCGGACCTTGTGAGACAGTTTTTTTTTCTTATGCGGTGATTTATTTATTCGTTTATATAAATTGGCACTTAGTTACCGAAATATGCTAGCTCCGACGGAGTTACATTAATGGAATAAGGATCATGTATTAGCTTGAAGAAAATATTGTACAGTCGAACCTTCGCTAACGGACACCTCTCTACAACGGCCACTTCGGTTCGTCCCGGGGGACAAAAAAGCGATACATTGAGTCTTGTTTTAAACCTCTCTACAACGGCCACTTTGTCCTGTCCCCATGGTGTCCGTTGTAGAGAGGTTCCACTGTTTATAGAAAATTGTATTGACCTATCTATATATTGTTTTTGTCATTTGTTGTAAGACTTGTAAGTCTACTATCATTTAAGAGACAACGTAAACCTTTTTTGCAGACTTCCTCTTCGGGGCCTTCTTGTTGTCATTCTCTTTATCGATGATGGAGGTGACTTTCTCAAGGATGCTATTGCTTTCCTCATTTGCAGGTTCTTCTTTTAAAACTGACGAAAAGAAGTAAAAGTGTGAGGAGGAATGGGAGAATTAGGTAAAATTATTTGCACTCGGCTAGGAGACAATTTAGTGAACCAGCAGAAAGTAACTCGATCTCTTATAAATAGTTATTGACGTCTGGAGGTTTCTCTTTTCGTGACGGCAAATTTCGTGCTACCACTGATTGCTTAAAGGCATGGTGGCTGCAAGTTTGTTGTCAATAACTTTTGAAGCAGGCTGGTCACTTAATTAAAGGGTCTTTTATTTCAATAGATTAATTGAAAGTAAACCATTTTCAATTCTTTATTTTGCAGGACCTTTAAGAAACTCAACGCAATAAGATATGATAGTCCGCTTACCAGCCAAACAGCAATCCTTGGAATCTTGGTACTCGCCCTAAAGGAACATCAGTTACTCAAAACTGATTCAAGTGGTAGCGATAACACTCTAGCCTGAGAAACCATGCCGACATTTGGCAACGGCACCACTGGTTTCCCCGTTTCGGAGAAACGAGCGCAGAAATTCCGTATTGATGACGTCTGATCTGGGTAGTGCTCCTGACTGGTCGTGCCGCGCGGGAAATTTGCTTAAATCAATCAGAAGCACAACCCAGATCTGAGAAGCGGCGCGTCATCGGTATGTAATTTCTGCGCTCGTTTGTCAGACGTTTTTTCGTGGGGAAACTAGAGGTGGCGTCGCGAGACGTTGGCTGTTTTCTTAGGCTAAGAAAACTCATGAAGGCTAATACTAAACAACTAGCCTGTTCGAGGCGTTCAGATGGTAGAGCGCGGCGGTCAGATGGTAGAGCGAGGGAACTTCCCCTTTTTCTATTCTCCCCTTCATTTTTTTTTTCGCTTTGTGAATTGTGAATTCATTTTCCCGCGGTCTACCGTCTGAACGCCCGGAAAAGGCTACCCAGCAAGCCGGTAATACATTAACGAACTATTGATCTTCAAAACTTCTGGCTAATATGTCCTTGTTTTTCAAATCTATAGCTACCTCTATTGTAATGTAAGTTAAAAGTAATGGATACTGGCTGCTTTTACCAAGGGGATGAATTCGTTATTAGCTACAATGATGGACAAAAATGTTAACAAAAATGGGCGTAGTCATGTCTAGTTTCAAGATCTGTCAATAACAAAAATTTTGCCCTTCCTCCGACTGAACAACATTGACCAGGGTGGGTGGTGGTGGTGGGGGAATCATAGCGGGATACGCGTTTTCAATACAAGTTCATCTGGCGGCAGTATTTTGTAGGATTGTCAAAAAGTTGTGTTAGGTTTGTATCGCCTTTAGCGCTTCATCACACGTCTAATACTTCAATCCCTTTTGTTCTCGTATGCGGTGAGCCAACGTTACCACAACACCCCAAATGCAACATGTTTGATGGCGTTGATGTATTTTACACAAAAACTAAACAGCTGTCCTGTTTTCAAATTGTTATTAAGCCGACAAATGCTTGCTATTACTTACCAGTTCTAAGTGACACTTGGCTTTGTATATATAAGCCTCTGGGACAAATTGCACTTTACAAACAACCCGTACAACCTCAATAAAGTATTCAGAGGCTTCTTTGATACGCTTCTTAGTAAAAAGGTCAATTCCAGTGGACAGAAGATTATCTCTCAATTCGTCAATACCAGTTCTATCCTACCAAACAAAAAAGAGCCAAGAATACTTATTAATAACACAGCTCTTGTTCTAAAATAAATGGCATGACTATCAATTTTTCGCGCACAAAGGGAAAAGCCTTTTGAGAATAATTTGTTCGAGTAAATGCGACTTTAAAAGAATTGCTGGTTTTCAGTGTCACGCCATTCAAAATAGATCAAAATAAAAATCAAAACCGCTCAATAGAATCTGGGAAATGAAAGGATGTACATATACAAAGACCCTCGCCAAGATTCAGGTCAGAGGAGTAATTCGTATACGAGATATCCGAAGAAATGTTTTACCCAAATTTATAGAGATTTGTATGGAGACGCTGTGCTGCATGGTGCTCACCTGGAAGAGCTCCAACATGGCGGACGGAAACCAACAGAAACATCTGTTACAGAGTTTTGCTACAAAAGCGTGAATTTATTCTTTGAGAAACTAATAAACATTAAAGTAATACTTTTTCTAATACATGAACTGTTTAGATAGCAAAATTTCCCGAAATAAGTCATTCTTTTAACCTACATGACAGCTCTCTTGGCCATCATGTAAATGCCGCGTCATGCAAAAGCTTAGAAATTCAAGCGTACTCTATCACAACACCAAGAACCCTGTTGAAAGGGAAAATTTGTATGAAAATTAGTTTTCAGCTGCACTAATGAATCATGAAAGTAAAAACTCGATAGGATCGATAGTGTTTTAGTTTGAATTTTAGTGACGTCATGTGAAAACCAACAATAAACTTGACGAAAGGTTTATTTTGGGATTCTTCGCCATTTCCTTGTAGTAACTAGACTTTGTTGTTGAAGTCGTACTTCTGTAAAGACTATCCTTTTCGCCTGGGAAACTGATTGAATAAATTATGCTCGTTGTCTCCTTACAGAAAACTGACTTTGAGCCCAAATTCTATCAATCCTTTATTGTAATATTTAAAGCGAAAAAAAGTAAAAACGAACCTCTTCAAAAATACGTCCCAACGTATCTCTCAGCCTCCCAACATCTGCTCTCACTTTCTGAAAATAATATTGCACATATACTGAGAATTTTTGTTTGAAGTAACATGTGCGATCCCTGGTTGGCAAATTTACCTTAAAATTGATTGTCTTCAACGACACGGCCACTTCGAAAGCACCGCGAACATCCCCAAGTTTCTCAAGAGCTCGCATTTTGAGGATAAGAGAGCAGAAAATGCCATCCTGAAATTCTATCTCCTTGCTGAGATTTAAGGCTGAAATGAAATATAGAAAGATAAATCGTGGCTTTGCGCTAAACAGATAACTTTTAATGTCCTTAAAGTTTTCATTTAAATGCAATTTCCCCCATGTCGAGGCACCCACCTTCTGTGCTGTCCTGTAAGGAAGTGTCCAATCGACCCTATATAGTCAAAACAAGATTATTGCCATGGTTATCAACCAGAAGTTGAGATACAAATTATACTTTTGAACACGTCAGGCTCTAATATGTGTTTTTACACCTTCTGCAATTTATAGGTACAAAAACTTACATATATTTATACTGATTTGACGTTAAGTTTTAAACTTAGCAATCACCACGTTCAACTGCCCTGAAAAATGCGAGATGAACTTTTAAGAGCTCTCTACATTTTTACTGGTCATTGCTGGTACGAAATCTCAGTTTTAAGAGCCAGTATGGTCTCAGCTTAGGAATGGATTTATATATAAGCTCAACAAATAACTGCGCTTTCTTACTGATGGTAAACTACAAATTCATTCCGATAAAGCAAACCAAGCCAATTCAATATAAACATTTTGTACCCGCAAGGACGAGTTCAAAGCTGGAAACTCACCAAAAAAAGGAAACAATGTGCCCTTCTTATTAGTGCATTGACTTTCCAAGTCGAAGTATCTCTCATTGCATGTAATGCGTGAGTAAAATCTTCAACTGCTCCACTAAAATCCTGCATTTGAAACTTTATGTTTCCGTTTGCAAAATGGTGATGAAAAACTGGATTCTGAAGAAAGATAAAATGATAACACCATGAAGTTTTATAAATTATTATAATTTTTTTTTTCAAAAATTGTTTTAATTAACTTAAAGAAATCGGAAATCATGTCAGTAAAAACAAAAAAATACAGGGAATAATAAATACTGAAGTAGGTAGTCAAGCAAAGAAATGTGGGGTAGGAACTGGCTGTCCAACCATCTATGGCTCAAGTCCAATTTAATTTGGTGTCGAATACTAAAGGCGAAGAAGAAGAAGCAGGAAGGCTAGCACGGTGGTGAAAGGGAAAGTACTCACTGCCATAAGAGAAAGAAATGGCTCCATTTCACTCTGGCCCCTATAAAACAAATTATGAAAATTAAAAGCGTAATTGCAATTATATTTTGGAAGTTTAAAGTATACATTTCCAAAACAAGGCAGTTATATCATTAAGCTTGATGGCTAAGACGGCAAAAACACGAATAGTTGCACTTGTCAGACTCACTTCTCTACATTCAACCTCAATATCACGTCAACAAATAGTTGTATCATTTTGTTCTCAGTTGACAATAACTCCTTCGGTAAGTTCGATAAATTTCGAGTTCAATGCTCGAATTGCGACAAGTGTTTCAAGCGACCATTTGACATATAGTTGGTAAAACTGACGTCCGGGCAGTTTTTGTAAGTGCTTCTCAGTTACATTCGAAATGCCTTAGGCCGTTGTAATTTCAAAAATTAGACATCAAAATACACCGTGAATACCTGGAGAATGTTAATTTCTTTCACACTGTGTCTTTTCTAGTTCGAACAAAACTTTCGTATCCATTAAACATGGTGCCATAGGTCATGGCGACGGCCCGACTGAATTAACTATTCTGATGGAGCTACAGTTAAGCACTGGAATTAAAACATAGCGTAAAAATAGAATTGTCAGCTTTGAAGACTCATTTTGTATTCAAAGCGTTTATATTTTAACCACAAAGGATCCGGAAATACCGCCTAAAAAATGCTGAAAAATAGATCTTTCTTTTCTATCACTTGGGCTATACACGAAGCGGAGACGGACTACAATTATTGGTTGCATTGAACTTATCCTACTCTGATCTACTTTAGGCGTCAGGTAATTGAATTGATATGGAAGTTATAAATCAGTCTAAACGGGTTAACAAGGACGTTTTATCAAAACCTCCGGAAACTCCTTGTCCACTGTGAGTCAAAAGCAGTTCTCGGTGGCAGCACAACTTTATCGATTTGACAAGCCGCCTATGAAATACTTGCACTACTTATTTAGGACCTGAATTTTATCTTCGAGTTGTCATCATGGGAAAGAATCGAAAAAAAAGAGATAAAATTTGAATAACTTTCTGAGCTACTTCAAGTTGAATGTCCGTTATTTTCTAAAATGCAAAGTCATAAAGAAATTTGTAATATGCCGTGCGGAAAGGTTTATTGATTTCATTAAAACTTAACTAATCTTATAGCATACTGCAGCTACATACTGTACTTACCGACCAAATCCGCAGTTTTATTTATATACGAACGTAGAGATCGACGTATAGCGATATAAAACTTGTGTCTACACTATATGCCCAGACAAATAAAATTTTCTAGGAAAATTTAAAAGTCAGTTTTCTCGGAAAATGAAACAAAAACATTCGACGTGTTGGGTTTCTCGCCTCTCTACTAAAACCGCTGACCATTTAGTAATTCGTGTAATAACATTCCTCATCGTGTTTGTTTTTTCACAGGTAAACTCTTGTAACCCTTTTACAACAATTTCTTGGATTTTGCGAAGTTCGATGAATAATAACTACCATTTCCCAGAAAACAATGATAGTTCTACTACTTACTATTGTTTCCACTACATTGCCAGAAATCGTGGACATTTCGCGCCCGTGATTAATTGTCAGCGGAATCTCATTTTCAAAATGACAGACAAAAACGATCGTAGTCAGGGAAAGCGTATCCCCTGCGATTTTTTAAGTAATTTGAGCTCTGTGGATCTGTTTTACGAAGAAAAAAGCTGGAATAAAACACCTTGCAAGAAAATGTTAGGTTTATAATCGGCCGAGCGGCTGATAGCGACAAAACAGTACGCGGATGTACCTTTCGTGACATTTTCGTGACAATTTTGTTTTAAAACCAAGCCTGGTAGGCTAATCGAGGGTTTTTGAATGCCTGGAACCTAGTTTATATCCCGTGAAGCATCTCTGGAGTTGTAGCAACAAACAAAATGGCGACTCGGTGAGGTTTGGAGTTGTGAAGCTTTGTCCGACCGAAACGTGTCATTCGCAACTATGGCGTCCATTACTGGACTACAGATGGAAAACTGAGGGAAATAATGCGCCTTTGGAAGTATTTTGCAGTGCAAAAATCGTCCTTTTTACCGCGCATTTGATGCAAACCTTTTTGAGAAGAATAGTTGAAACTGTATATATATATAAGACAAATTGGTATTCTCAATCATTGTGGTACTCCGAAAACGGAATTGCGCATGCCCAGATCGCGTTCCTTTACAAAAATTTTTTTGATAACGCAGCATCACACGCTAAAATTTCATTACCTGTACTTGACGCTTTCGAGAGCTCATCAGCGTCGATTCTTTCGCTTCGTTTGGGATTCTTAGATAAGTCAAATTTATTGAAAATACCGGACTGCCCGACCGTCGACCTGAAAAAAGTTCTAAGTGTCACAAAGCATGGTTTCGTTTCTGAGCCCAGCGCAAGGCAAACGCTACACTTGAGATTTATAAAGCATTTCAGGAGCGCTTGACTTTCCTTAATCGATATATTATAGTTAAGATTAGCTTGTTTTTTCGATTTGTGAAATTTACTGAGAATATATAGGACTGCCGGTCATCGTTCAACATATGATCGAGTCATTTCATATAATTAGTTCCATTCATGCATGTCATTTCCACCATTAGTATTGCATCCGATCAATCGCAAAGGTCAGGATTCGATTCGCGGTCACTATAAAGACTTGACAGAGACCGGAAACCGCGCTAGAAAAGTCTCTGGCACCCAGGGTATATTTCCGTCAATTACTCTTTGAAAGAGGATATATTTAAATTCCGTTACCTAAGTGCGAAGCGGTTTAAACATTTCTTTACTAGATTATAAGGAAAGGAAGGATAGAAGGAAAAATCAGACACTATTGTACTTACATTTGATAGTCGCGAGAACTCGCATACAGATGACTTGCCTGACTGCAGTTTGAAGATTCGTTCCTCTAAATGCCAGTCCCCGTTGCTTACGGTTCATAGACATTATTATTAGTGATTAAAAACAAAATCTAGGTATCCAGACAGTCCACAGAGTTGACATATACTTTTAAAAGATCGCAGCACAAGGCCGCCACAACGCTTTGTTTCTAACACGTGTTTTCACCACGTGACCACAGCGTCCAAAGTACTTTTATACACGATACACTCGCACGTATTCAATTATTGTGGCGAAGTCTCAGAATATTCATTTATGTTGTAAATGTATGAAAAGAAGATAACGATATGACAGAATTCTTTCAGTGTTGCTAGTTGATGCAAGAAAAATAATAGATGAGATCTTGACTTAATTGTTTTTTTTTTTTACTTATCACATTCGAAGTTGACGCTGGAGCAATGAGCGCTTATCTTATGTATTACCCTAAATTTTATCAACCAGTTCAATGATACTTATATTCAGGTCTCATCTAAGTAGTCGCTTACGAGAGCTTAAAGACAAAGGAAAGACCAACCGGCGATTCAAAAAAATGGTTACGGTCAGGGTTTTTTTGGTAGCGGTCGTTTACGAGAGCTTTCACTACTGAGCTTAGTAAAGTCACTGTTCAAATGGGCTTTCACAAGCCTGCTCAGGTCGCTTTCGAGCTTGGTCGACAGACTGTCTGTCCCATAAAAGTAACTGCTATTGTGCGGACCCGCGAAGCAGCAGGCTATTTTTTCAGCGGTGATTTGCTTAACTTGATGGTCTCACCAAGAGGCAGACGGATAAAGTTTAATTAGTGAGGATTACCGATTACGAAGAGATCTAGAAGTTATTAAATTCGTGAATTAGCTCTGATTATCCTTTGTCGTTTTGTAAAGTAGTTCCTCATCGCCGCTTACGGAACCCAATTGTACTCTTCAACAACTTCATACCAAATGTACAGCTGACATGAACACATTGTTAATGATGCAGAGCATTGTTCGTTCACGATAGGGGCAAGGATTTCCCTTCCTTCTAGTTTGGTCTTGATCCCACCGGATCTTTCCACTTCTACATTCGGGGCGAATCCCGGGGGCCGAATGCAGTTTTGACCCTACTCAGACAGGGCTTTTTTACTTCCTGCGACCGGAGTAGGGCTTTGGAGACTCCCCTCTATAACTTGAATTGAAAACCGCTAAAGATACGGCCTCCAAAATTACACAGAATAAATAAATGTTACCATGATTTTCAACAACTAAGCATAATTTGATTGACATATTGACGTAATGTGACTCCATTATGACATCATATTGGTGGATATATCGGCAGAATTCAAATCCCCCTCAAAATAGTCATAAAGCAAAAAAAACCTTAAATAGTAAGTAAGGTGTCTGATAAAATCAAGAAGTTGACTAACACACTATAGTCATGTTATGACGACGTCATTCATTATCTTAAAAAGAAGAATCTGGAACCGTTCGTTATCTTGGGTTCGCCATTTGAAATTAATTAAATGTATTACATTTTACTTGAAACCCGTATAAATTGAGATAATCGGGATAAAATTTGATTATTATTATTACACTATTGTTCAACTTTTTAGTGAGGTGGAGGGGACCTCAAACACCCCCCCTCCCCCCTCAGGTCTGAATAGGGTTCATCTTGCAACTGAGATCTCAAAGTTTTTTCCCAAGCAATTAACATTTCTGATACAAAAGGTAAATTCTTGATCTGCTTATAACTCAGTTTTTAGGACGACATGATGGGACAGAAAATGAAGTCTGCAGTTCCTGAAAAAAGCGATAAAATCAGTCACTTGCTTTGCCTTTAACTTATCACATAATTAAGTCACTGCGTTTTCTATGGAACGAAGAAACTAACAATACAGTTAGAATTTTATTGGCTTAATGGAATGAAATTTAACAATCGTCAAACTCTATTTATATAGGCCGCTGTGTTGCTAGCTGCAAAATTTATCGACAGTAGACTTAATACGCAATCAATGTAGTTTTTACAAATCGTAAATCTATATTCGATTCAGTTAATTTTTTGTTCTATTAACACTAGTTATGCAACTGCAATTCTTTTCAGTGGAATAGTGAAATATCCCAAGAGGGACTGGATCTTTCTTAGTATACAGTCGACTGTCTCTTAACGGACACCTCTATTAGACGGACACCTCTGTAAAACGGACACTTAGAGTTGGTCCGTGCCTTTCGTTACTCCCTTTATTTGACTCTTTATAAGACGGACACCTGTCTAAGACGGACACTTGGTGCCGGTCCCAAAGGTGTCCGTCTTAGAGAGAGTTGACTGTACACACGAGCCTTTGGGCGAGTATGTATACAAATAGAAATATCAAGAGACGAGTGAGACATTTCATGGTATACGACATGAAGTTTCGCATAACTAATTCATTCCATGCCACTAATAATGACGACCGAAAATGGAAACATCTCGACATCACGGTAAACTCAAAGAAAACAGATTTAATAGTCCAAGTAACCTCTAAACAACCTTGTCCAAATGATCGACAACTTCAAGTCAATGAATAGAGTTCCTATTCATCTCTGTACAATTTGTCCTGCATCCTGGATAAAATGGAAACACTGCTGTCGAACGTTTCTGTTGGGATTTCAGTAGGCTTGTTTTGAAATGTGGATCCATCTGGTTTGTTTTTGTTGCCATCGGCTAATAAATTCCATAACTTCTTTGTCCGTTGAAGTCTGTTTGATTTCCTTTTGTATTACTAATTTAACTTAGTCTTCCTAACCGTCCAAATGGTGGTTAAAACTCGGCTTTTTCTATTTTGTTTAAAATTACTTCTGGTAATTTTTTTATGAAACGTTTAGTTGTCTGTAATCTGCCTTGTTTTTGGCGGGAAAACTTAAAGGCCTGCACCGCCGGTATTCATGTTTTCGGTATTACTCGTTGCATACTGCAGAATATTATGGTTTTCTTGCTTTCTGATTGGCTCTTTTCTTTATGCATGGGATAAAATTTCATAATGTCTGTAGACACAGCCGTAGACAGGAAGACGTCTTTATTAGAAAGAAAACAAGTTCTAACTCGTACCTTGAACTAAACATAACTGAGCGGCTTTACCATCTGCTCTGAATTTGTAAGACTAAGCGCTCTCAAGGTCTTATTCCTTTTAAGTATTGGTTGTTGGTAGTCAGTGATTTTTTAAGTCGCTTTGCAGTTTATTATCTATTTGTGTACGTATTATTTTACGATCATTGTAAGTAGCTATAATATAGCCTTATACTGTATATATTGCTGCAATGGCAATGAGTCGATATATTTCCTCAAGACTCTCTTAACACTTCCATTAGGTTTCACCTTGCGTGTGTCCATTTCCATATACTGACAATTGTCTTTTGCGCGAAATCGGTTTATTTTGCGACGCTTTTTCAAAGCCTTTGGTTTTACAGAGATATAGCATCGACGATTTATTTTAATGACGAATCACTGCCTAGCTGTCTCATTTCTCTCTCAAGTTCAAGGCCAATCATGTAATTCTGCATGTTAAGACGCATCCGCGTGGACTGACATTGCACCCGCTAATAAGACATCATCAATACTACTGGCACTTCAACTTATCACAAAAATTGTATACTTTGATTTATCGGTATATATCCTGATGCGACTTTAATAGCATAGGTGAAAATGCCTGCCTGTGTGTTGTGAAGAATGTCGTCACATGCTTTGAAGCGTTTCTTACTTCTGTTAGTTCTTATTTTAAGACACCAAAATACAACAGGTTATTTACTGAATTGTTATATTTTTATCACCTCACTGATTACCTCGCTTCGCTGAAGAGTTGAAGAAGTGTCTTCTTATTCACTGGATCCAAGGTAGCATACACATGATGTGAACTGATCTAATACAGCGATAACCCACTGCTGGTGCTTACTACCTTTTCGATGGATGTATTTCCCCGATATTTCTTAAGACCAATATTTCCGCTTCCAGAAACAATGATGACTTCCGGTTTACCTTCTCAGAAACCGCCACAGACGTCACACATAAATGTGTCTTTACATGCAAAATATCGGCAACAACACGGTCATATCTTCTTTTGCCCGTGATGTTAGCATCATGTATATCTAAAGAAAAAATAAGTCATTTTTGGAGGGGTTTGATTCTGGTCCTGTCTTCTACAAATTAGTGAGAAGCCAAATTTCAACAGAAGGCGGATTCAAGGGGCGATAAAATAGTAGACAGACAACTGATCTCTCCGCAGTTGAATGCTCCAACACCAGCAGGACCACCAAACTATTTACGAATTGAAACAATGATTGATTGCCATAAAAGGCAATTAGCTTTCGAAGCGGAAAAAAGGAAATAAATTCTACTCTTACATGACCTTGAATTTTGACAAGCACAAACACATAGCGGTCGTCGCTTCTCGGCACCTAGTAGCCTTATCGCCGGTGACTCTCAACCCCGCACTCAGACAGTGTCTGAAGGACGCTTCACAATATAATACACATTGACATACTACATATTCCGTTACAAAATTGACTAAATTGCAATTTTTATACGCTTTAGCGTTAGTCTCAATTTGTCGTAAGCCAATTATTCTAAGTATTCCGATAGCCTTCTTTGTTGTCTTCTTGACTTCTTAACCTTAGTTTTCTATTTCGTAATTACCTTGAAAAGTTAATGTTTTTCATAATAGGACATGATTGGCCCAAATAGCCTAGGTACCTATGGGTATGCCAAGTCTGTTCAACTATTCTTATAAAACGTGTAAAATGTATGTGTGCGTATCGGTGTGTGTGTTGAGACTGAGAGAAGCGACGACAGGAAATACGTCTGCTTTCGAAGGCTAATTGAAAAGCGGCAAATATTTCGGTGCATTTAATGTGTCGGCGAAATTTCGCGAGCGAGGTCATAATCTGAAACGAAAATTTATTTTTGGTGAGAAATTTCGTGCCAGCGGGACGATGGTTCAACGCCTTTTTTCCAAAGCAATATTTCGTCCTCAAGAAACGAAATTTTTTCACTCAAATCTTCCTAGCTGAAAAGAAGAATAACTACATATGGCTACCCCCAAAAGGTAAAAGTAAGCTTGACCAGTATTAATGGGCTGCACTCTCCGACCGAAAAAAAAACATAGTACGACTCAGAAGGCGTTACGTGTCCCATCCCCCGCCTCCCATTTCCCCTGCGATGGAGACGATCATTTGACTTTTGAGGGGAAGGGGCTAGTTGTTTCAGATATAAAACAACAGGTTTGGAACGAAAACAAAATTCTGGCGTTAACTTACGAGTCTTTAAAGTCCTTTATCTTTCGTAGGCGTACATTCATTGGCCACCAAAAAGAAAAAAACAAACAAATTAAAAACTGCTGTGTGATTATATTAAAAAACTAACTTAAGCTTCAGCTTTAGCAGGCGTTTTAGCCCTTGAAGGCCTTTGAAGGGGACAAACACAAACAATTTGGGTAAAAAAACACCTGCATTTAAGGCAGTAGTGAACCAATCTACTAGTGCCAATTTTTAGCAGTTTTCCAGATATAATCATCCCTTGATAAGTGTTCATATTTTCATGTCACGTACTCGAATAAAAGCTTACCTGATCATTAATTTGATCATATCCGTCCTCTTGATCTTACATCCAAGATTAATTTGGAAAATGCCAGGAAAGCAGCACACACTAACACACAACTTGGCGGTCCGAACAGACTGTAGTCTGCTACACAGCCGTTTTTAGTGTAGTCACGCAACGCTCCTCCCTACTAGTGGGAAGGAGCGTTGCGTGACGACACTAAAAACGGCTGTGTAGCAGACTAAACAGACGGTGAAACAAGTCATCCGCAGTCAACAGTTTAGAAGTCTGGATTTCTTGTTCACGTTTGTACCGACGCGAAATCAGCTTTTCTTTTTTTCTAAACAAATACACTGACAAATAACATATATTTCAAAGTCTTGATTTGTATTCCGGGGTAAAATTTTAGCACAGCCGTCCAACTTTAGGGACAAATTAAATTATCACGTTTAGCGCGAGAAACAACTAAATGTTTATCTTGCAAACAGACTTGCAAATAAACGAAAACAAAATTTAATTTTCAGGACTATAACGTAACTTAGACGATCATACAGCTTCAGATGACAGCATATCTCTATTCCTATTCCCCTGGTATACACTCACGCCGGAAAAGAACCAGTTATCACGATACTTGTCACGATACCTGTCAAAAGTATGAAACCGATGTAACGCGCAGCCAGCAGCTCAATGTACTCCCTTTATGGGAGTAAAAAGTGATTTTTAATTTTACCTTTCACTTCAGTAAAAACCCTTCAGTAAGAACCTAAGATTTAAGAACCTGTTAGGCTAAAATTTGCAATTTAGACCCTCTCTATATAGGAACCTCTTTAGCCTAAAATTGGGAGAAAGGTTTTTACTTTCAAAAATCATTTAAAAATATTTACTAATTGTAATTGCAAAAGGCAAGCTAGTACATATGTAAATGTTGTTTGATTGAGGTCATTGAGAAAATGTTTATAATATTGTATTTTACAGCACAATCTTGTATATAAAGTTGTTTTGACTCAAGAAATTAAAATTCATGTGAGAATATATCTCTATTATGGTCATAGTAAAATATAAGCAACATTAGGTATGCAAATTTAAGGTTGCTGATCACTAAAATCGTCTTAGCAAAGACATAATTTTTTGCAAGAAATTAAGAACCTATTAAGATCCTAAATAGCCTAAATTTATGTTAACCACCATCTATGTAAGAACCTGTTTAGGGTAATCCTCCAAAATGTACATTCTTACTCGTGGGTTTTTACTGTAATAGATATGTTAATATTGTAGTACTTGCATAAACTAGTATAACATAGTAAGCAACACTAACCGCCTCGATAAAAAATGTAAATGATGTAATGTAAATATTATCAGTTATTATTATTCGCAATTATTTTTATCATGAAGGCGGCTCGACTGGAATTTTAAGAGGGAATACAGTCAAGTCAGTGCATTTACAACTTCAGCATTAAAAAATATATCGGAAAAAGGTTACCACAGCTGTTTTATGTGAAGATGAAAATTTGTCTTGGGCTATGTTACTCATTGACATCGGAGTTTCCATAGCAACGTAAAGACGTCATTACGTTTTTTACTTGCCTTTATATTTCGTTGTACCAGAAGTTTTTTTTTTCGGAAATCACTGAAGAGAGCTTGTACCTCCGTTTACTGCCTCGATTATGGGAAAGCGTATTGGGTATAGCTTGACAAAAAAAAATGCTAGTGAATAATGAGGTCCCTCACTTGTAAACACAAAACCTGAAGGAACAATTTGTGATATTGGAAGCCCCATTTAATCATTGCCTTTCTTGTCTTCAATGTCCTTGAAACTTGCAGGCGATTTTAATTGATGACTAATCTCGGAATTGTCAAGTTTGTAACAAAAAATATCAAGCGGTTTCCACGTTAACGTGAAAATTATAGGCTTGAACCAAGTTGCATACAAAACAAAAGGGGACTGAACACAAACTAATCAAATTCTTTACCACTCAAAATCGGCCAAAGAAATCCCCGTTTTTTGCGTACAAAGTTTCAAATGGATGAAACCATTATGAGATAAAACTTCATTTCCAGAGCTCATCATTTTGTTTAGATATTAGCCAATTAAGCCGATGGCATGTTTATTCACTCTTTTTCAGACCCCCTAAAACTTCTTTTCAAAATATTCCAAAACGCTCTTATAGAAATTGTTCAAACTTTGCCATAATTGAGGCAGCCAGGGGAGGCGATTTCAGGGAAAAAAACACTCCTGGTACAGAGAAACATTAAGGCAAGTAAAAATCGTAATGGCGTCATTGCGTTGCTATGGCAACTCCGATGTCAATAAAGCATAGATCAAGACAAATTTTTATCTGTGGTAACCTTTTCGCGATTTATTTGTTAATGCCGACGTAGTAGATGCTCAAACTTGAAAGGTTAATTGACCATCTAAAAAATCCAGCCGAGCCACCTTAAATGCATGGCCTTCCCCAAGGGTGGCCTCTGAAATATTTTTGGGGCTCACGGATTTAACGTTAAATCCGTGAGCCCAAAAATTAAGCATTGCAAATTTTCTAACGCAGGATTATAGTCATATCCTGCACGCATATTTTGTGGTGTTTTTTGCTGTTCACACCCGTACAGGAACGTGATTTTGTCTTAATCATTAGGTATAAAGTTAGTTCCTTAGCTCTATCTTGTTATACTCCTTGATGAAGTCTGTGTGATCAGACGAAACCGGTCGGAGAAATAAATCAAGTAAACAAGATCCTAGCGTTGCTTAGTGCTGCTCACTAGTGTTTATCTAACAAATTTAAAAATTTTTTACTTGTTTCAGTTACAAAAATTGAAAATCTCATCTAAACTTGCAACAAAATCTACGGTACAAAATGCATTTATTACAGTAGCAGTATTTATACGGTAGAGAAAAAGATTTACGCTACGAATATACATCCGAGTTTAAGAAATCTTGATTATCTTTGATTAAAATTCTACTTAATATTTCTTTTAAAAATGAATTCGTCTCTTAATTAATATCGTTATCTACTGATGTTCATGCCTGGAAAATAAATGAGCATTCAACATCGAGAAGAGGGACGAAGAGGCTAGATATAATCACTCCCACTACATTAAACAAGGGCGACGGTTTGATTCTTTTGTTGTTGTTGCATTTTTGCTAAGGGCACAAACGATTTCTACGAAATTGGTGGTTTCAAACGGATCAATCACTCTTATAGGTAGATGAAATGACTGTAAAAAAAGTTCGTGGTGAAACCACTAACCTCTTGATTTGCATAAAAGAGGCAGACGATAAAAACGCTGGTCAAGCTATTTAAGGCAATTTCGCAACGCACCAAATTTGTGCTCATAGGTTTGACTGAGTAAGAAAACAAGTTATTCAAGGCATAAAGAAACACAAGAGAATTACAATCTGGCAACACAAATTAAAATGATCACGGAGCCGGTTTATCAGAGTTCTAGCCTGAATTTCAGACATCTCTTTGAGTAGCATACTCCTCTCAGGGATGACGTCCCTGAGATAGCCTGCGTAACTGGTGGGATTAGCGGGCGAGTGCAAATGCTGTAGTTTTGGCGAAGGAGCTGAGTGAAGATTGAACCACTTGCTTCATGCACGAAAGTGCCCCTGGTACAACAACCCCGCCGGCTCCGTCTCCACAACTACAGCACTCGCCCGCTGATACCGCAAGCTAGGCAAGCTATCTTTGAGAAGAGTATGCAACTCCGAGGGATGTCTGAAATCCAGGGCACTATTTATCCTCATTTAGTGTTACCTTTAAACTATGGTTCTTTTTCTCAACGGTATAATGGTCTGGGACTTCAAAAGAAAATACTCACAATTTACAGCTGTTCCAAAATTTTACTGCCCCTATTTCAACGAGTACTAAAAAAAATTCATCATATATTTCTCCTATACTGAACGAACTCGGTTGGTTCAGCATTGATGAACTTCTGAACTGGTGTGACCCATCTATTATTCACAAATGCATAAACAGTCTACTCCAACCTATAAGCTATTCTTTTCAAACG